ATTGCTCTAATCAGTACAGAAGACTCGATAAGAATTTCAAACTCATTCTGCAAACTATCAAACCTACTAAATTACAAAAAATACACAAATCTAATCCAACGACACCATATACATGCTGCGAAGTAGAACTATACAACATAAGACAACTTTTTCACCAAAACTTGTTGCAGATAAGTATGAAGATCTCAGAATCCAACGGAATGGCTGCTACAATACCGAAAAAGAAAGTCACAAATGCAAAGCTGGCTAAGAAGATATAAGTAACAAACCCTGCACGAGCTGCAGCCTCCACTGCAGGACTTCATGCGTAAAAGATGTACGCATCCCTAAAGCTAACCGCGCAAAACACTCAAAACAGACTAGAGTACCACATTCCTACAAAAGAACTCAGATAAAAGAAAAATCAGTCGGAAGCTTCACCATCTAACACTAAGCAAAAAGAACTGCCGTGGTCACAAGTACAACCCACCATATATTATTTATGCAATGGCAACTACCATGTTTTAATTTAAAAGAACAGCCTTGAAAAGGAAACATCAGGGCAAAGTTCACCACTACTGTATATCCTCTTCCCAATGACGTCACAGAAAGAAACAGGAAAAGAAACGCTACAGTGGCTGCAAACTCTGGTACTTATCAAAGAGAGCGATGCATCTGACGCTGCCCATCCAGTGCGCTGCTTGGGTATTTTAAAACTAACATTTGGCAAATTAGAGGATGAGCCAGGTGGGTGTGTAAACAGGCAAAGAATGTCGCAAAAACTCGCTTAAGCCATGTCCTTGGCCAGCTTCTCAGCCTTCTGCGAAACCTCCTCAATACCGCCAACCATGTAGAAAGCTTGCTCAGGCAAATCATCGTACTTACCATCCAACACACCCTGCACATCGGCGATGTCTCATCAGGAATCGCACCATCAAAAACCCAAAAACCCTACTTCGTTACTCTACGCATCAAGTACAATCTAACCTCGGCAAACATTTCCTGTGCGGAAGAAAACCCTTGTTTAGGGTGCCAGTAAATGCTCTAAAATAAACCATGCAGCGTCACATACAAACCACGTTTGATCCACAAAACATAGCGGTTCAAGAGCAAACATAACTCACCCGGAATCCTGAAACACTGTCCTTCAAATCCACGTACTTTCCAGGCGAACCTGTGAACACCTCCGCCACGTGGAATGGCTGACTCAAAAATCGCTGCATCTTCCTTGCACGCGCCACTGTTAACTTGTCATCTTCACTCAGCTCGTCCATACCCAAGATGGCAATGATGTCCTGCAAGTTCTTGTAGTTCTGCAGCACCTTCTGCACATCTCGCGCACAGTAGTAGTGCTCCTCTCCCAAAATACGCGGGGACAGCATCCGGGATGTCGAATCCAAAGGATCCACCGCCGGATAGATACCCAGCTCAGAAATTTGCCGAGACAGCACTGTCGTCGCGTCCAAGTGAGCAAACGTAGTCGCAGGGGCAGGGTCTGTCAAATCATCAGCGGGAACGTAGATGGCCTGCACTGAGGTGATCGACCCCTTCTGTGTCGTCGTGATACGCTCCTGCAGACCTCCCAAATCTGTCGCCAGCGTCGGCTGATACCCCACTGCAGATGGAATACGACCCAACAAAGCAGACACCTCCGAGTTGGCCTGAGTGAAACGAAAAATGTTGTCGATAAAGAACAACACGTCCTGTCCCTCAGCGTCACGGAAGTGTTCTGCCACTGTCAGACCAGTCAGTCCAACCCGGGCACGGGCACCAGGGGGCTCGTTCATCTGTCCGTATACCAGAGCGCATTTGCTCTCCATCTGCCCCAACCAAACCCATCAACTTCTCATTGTTCTCCGGAAGAGAATACCGAATGATGCAATCACACCACCACAAATTATTCATTTTCATACCAAAATTACAAAAAGATACATGACAGACAGGATAACATGAATAACATTCGTCAATGGAATCGTAGTCTAACTATCACCAACTACCGCTCACCACCGCCCACAAGATCTCACCTGCTTGTCGCCCAACTTGATAACACCACTCTCAATCATCTCCTTGTACAGATCGTTACCCTCTCGGGTGCGCTCTCCCACTCCGGCAAACACTGAGAAACCTCCGTGGGCCTTCGCGATGTTGTTGATCAGCTCCATGATCAGCACCGTCTTCCCCACTCCGGCACCGCCGAACAACCCAATCTTACCACCTCGCTGGTACGGCGCCAACAGGTCAACGACCTTGATTCCAGTCTCCAGAATCTCCATCTCCGTTCCTTGATCCACGAAAGCGGGGGCCTCGCGATGGATTCCAAGCACATGCTCCCTGCCTGCAAGCCGCCACCGCCACCCTCAGGACTCGGTTTCCCGCAGAGCTCATCAACGAAACAGAAATACGAGATGGTAGGCACCAACACACACGAACATCCACTGCAGATAGCGCTTGAACCCATGAATCGTGCACTTACTGATATCGCCTCTCTCGTCGATAGCTTCACCAATGACGTTGATGATGCGGCCCAAGGTTGCACGACCAACAGGGACCTGAACATTTACAATGTCAACTTAAGAGCTCGATTCAACATCGCTTTCACGCTCATACTTTGGATGTTCTCGCACCACGCAATCCTCACCACATATATCGAGTTTGAAACCTCCTGGTCCACCTCAGAAGGACACTAGACTACCAAGCACCAAGAAGGAGATGAAAAAAGCGGTCCGACAAAGCAATTCATATCCGCAAGTACGCAAATCACACTCGAATATTAGATACATGAACACCCAGGAAAAGCTACAATAATTAAACCCTAACTGCTTACCAAACTAAATACATTAGCTAACCTAAAATGCATTCATGAGCTTCGAGGATCCGGTACACAAATTCTAGAATTCTTTGTACGTCGACACGCTGAAAATCATGTCACCGTGCAAGCACATCAGGAGCACGCACTAGTAACCTCCATTGTGACCGTGACCCAAATTTTCAACTACCACAACATTCGCTAACGACAATCCACCGTTCGCAATAATGTCAAATATGATAACCATCCCAGTGGCGTCCGGGACCGCTGATTCAAACAACCACAGTGTACCAAAAAGGGCAGATGTGAACCCTTGAACCAACACACCGAAAAATTCAACAACCCAACATCCGACCTAAAAACACTCACATCCACTACTCAGCTCAACTGACTTCCTCACCATAATAGGAGAACCGGTGTTCAACACACGCTGTCCGCGAACAAGCCCGTCTGTCGTCTCCATGGCGATTGTCCGTACAGTGTTCTCACCCAAATGCTGCGCCACTTCCAGGACGACCCTAAGATTGTGGTCCTGCACCTCCAAAGCTGTCAAGATGGGGGGCAGCCCCTTCTCGAACTTCACGTCCACCACGGCTCCGATCACAGTCGCGATGGAACCAACGCTACCAGCGCCGGTGAAGTCCGTAGATTTGTTGTCCGTCGACATGCCACGGGCCAGGGCGGGCGTCACAGCCCTCGCACTGTTGAAAATCGATCTGGACAACCCCTTGGCGGCCGCATTCGCAACGGCCCTGCCATTGGAGGCATTGGGGGAAAATGATCTAGCGCCCTTAGGAGGCTGGGGCGATGAGGAGAGCCTGCGCGAGCCGGCTCGCAGCGCAGCGGCCAAAGCCTTCCGTCCCGACATGACCGAAACCTCTCAAACCCCGGCGAGGAAAAACACACAATGAGCGAGCGGGGCCAGGCGCTGTCTAGGGTTAGGGAGCTCCAGCACCGGAAACTTGAAGGGAAAGGACTCTGAATGGTATGGGTATGAGTAGCGAGAGACGTCCACGCCCCCCTCGGCTCGCAGTGTCGCTGCCATGCTCCACAGGGGCACGCCCCGCCTTCGAAGGGACGAGCGAGCAGCAGCATTCGGCACTCACATGGATGGATGGATGGATGGGTAGATGGACGCAACTCATCCCTGCCCTGGCTTTCATCATCATCATCATCATCTTGGCTTTTCCCTGATTCGGAACGTGCTACCCCCCCCCCTCTACTTGGTTCAGCCTCCGCCATCTATCACCTCGCCTGCCTCTGGTTGTTCCCTCTGCGCAGATTTTGGGTTGCGGCCCCGCTTTCGTAGATGGGTGGATTTTGCCTCGGCTCGCTGGGAGAATGACCGCACGTTTTCCCACTCGGTCCCACCCTGTTTCCAGTTTTACCCCACGGCCACAGGCACTGCCCACCCTCCACACCGCAGCGTCTGTGGGAGTTCCCGAGGTGACGTGGCGCCCTCTTCTTGGTGCTCGCTTTCTTCTGCTTCTCTTCTTTTTCTTTCTCTTTCTCTTCTCTGTCTTCCTCTTCCTCTTCCTCTTCTTTTTGGTCGTGTTCACACCGGCACGTCCCACACATTTTCCTCTTGGCCCCTACCATCCTGCCGTCACAGACCAATTATGTGCGGGTTTCCTTTCGGTTCTTGTTGTCTCAGAGAGCTCCCTGTCCAAATAGTTTTTATGATGTTATGTATTTGATATAGTAATCATGTAAAGAAATTTACCTACATCTGGAAGTATGTATGTGTTTAGTTTTAGGGTTTATATGTATTGTATTTTATCGTATGTTCCCCCTTCGGAATATGAGAAATTACCGTCAACTGACAAGAATTAAGAATTTTTGACACATTATACTACACTTGACTAGCGAACGAGTTTTGTATTTGTTAGAGGAATAGATTTAAATAATATCATATTCTGATATATCTGCATGTTACACGGTTTCTTAAATTTTAATTTTTTCCCAATTTTGGTTCAACAATGTCCTAGATTAGTATCAGCAGAAGGAAAATGTGAGTTGGTCCATGAGTGGGGTAAGGAAAAATTTGTTGGCTGTTTTCAGTTCCCGCACTTTTTGGAGGGTGACGAAGGTTTTGCTCCGAATTTCTGCTCTCGGTCCGATCATCCACGTGGACACCAAGTAAGATGGTATTGCCAAGTCCGCATTCCATCCACCCTGGTCCCTCGAATTGCCCGCTTTTTGACTTCACAACAACAAATTATTGCAATCACTTACAGCGATTGAGGAAGGTAGCCATAGATTGTACGTTTTGTTAATTTTGTCCCAGAGCTTAGACCTTGAGTCTGTATCTGCCGCATCTTGCTTCGCGTCTCTCGTGTGTGCTTAATGTCCGCGGTTTGAGTTAAGGTTTTGTTGTTGCGGAGAAAGTGTCGGTTTAGGGGTTTAGGTGTGCGTGTTGGTGAAGATTAGAACTTGGGGGTAACAAGTAGGTCTCGATTTTGGATAATGTAGGGGTAGTTTCGTATGCGAATGCAAATTGAGAAGCAGTCGTGTTAGTTTCACGATGTTGTTACCGTCTTTGGATTTGCGAATGCTTCGCTGCGGTGGTCATTTGGCATTCTAACAGCAGTGTCGTTGCCGCCAGGATGCTTGTCAGCCGGATCGCCACTTTTTTTTCTTCTTCCAGGATCCCTTCATTCTCATTTCTCGCCAACGGTCTGCATCTTCCTCTGCGGCTCTTATCTTCCGCCCCTGGCTCTCTCCACAAACCTCGTATTCGGAAAAAAGATCGATTACAGCGCGACGTGACACTCCTTTCCAAAATCCTTCGCTCTAAAGCCACTTGGGGTGCCACTACTGCTAAGCGCCTTAAACAGTCCGGCGTCGAGCTTACCCCTTTCCATGTCTGCGAGGTTTTACGCCTTCATCGTCAGCCTGTTGACTCCGCGTGGCGCTTCTTTAAATGGGCTCAACAGCAGAAGCGCTGCAAGCATGGCCTTTTCATGTACTCCACAATGCTTCGCCTCCTCGGCGATGCCCGCCGCTTCGACTACCTCTGGGCCTTGTTGGATGATATGAAGCGTGATGGCCATCGAGTTACTCCTACCATTTTCTTGGGCGTCATTCGCAGCTACGTCAAAGCGAATCAGATTGAGGATTCTCTCAAGACTTTTCACGCCATGGACAAGTATGACTGCAAACCTACAACCCTCGTTTACAACTCCATGATCGATATTCTGAGAACGTCGGGTGATTATGTCCAGGCAGAGAAATTGTTCAGGAGTATGAATCCTTCATCATGTGCTCCTGATACTATCACCTACACCATGATGATAGACTGTATGGGGAAGGCTGGGCATATACAAGCAGCGTTCGATCTTTTTCAGGAAATGCATAGAATGGGTTATAAAGCTAACGTTATCACATACTCAAGCTTGATAAGATCTCTATGCAAGGCAGGTCGAATTTCAGAGGCGTGCAATTTGTTGTCGGGAATGAGAATCAATGGCTGCAACCCGAACGATGTGACCTACAATGGACTCATTGTTGGTCTAGGTGGAGCTGGTCAGGCGGATCTTGTCTGTTCCTACTATAAAGAGATGAAATCGTTTGGTTTGATTCCAAATCTGCCAACTCAAGCAGTAGTAATTTCTAGTCTTGTGAGGATTGGCAAGCTTAGTGAAGCGCATAGCTTGTTCCAAACGGCGGCTTTAAAGAGCAGTACGTTCGACTTTGATGTGATGAAGTCAGTTGTTGGCAGCCTTTGCAAATCTAATCGATGTGAGGTGGGGTTTAAGTTTTTTCAAGATGCCAAAAAGAGTGGCTATGTGCCTTCCTCCGGGGCTTGCAGTGTGTTGATATATTCTCTTTCCAAGGTCGGAATGGTGGCGGAGGCATTATGTGTCTACGGCGAGTCGACACGCGGTGGTGTTTCTCCTGATCTTATGGCGCTTAATGCATTAACCAATAGTCTTGTGAAGGAGGAGAAACTTGAAGCTGCGATTGATGTCGTTCGCTTTATAAATAAACATAGGATTGGTGACGATGCATATGCTCATGAAAGGCTTGTGGATCTTTTGTGCAAGACGCATCGATTTGAAGATGTCCATCAGGTAAGAATGCTGATGGTTGTGTCTTTCATTGTCAAAACCTATTAATTTAGATTGGATGTGATGGGATCTGAAAATGAGTTATTGCACGTGGGTGTTCAGTGGCATTTGTATACTAATTTTCTGCAAGCTCTGTTCCCTATCACAGGTGATCAGCCAGGAGTTACCAAAGCAGGGTTTTGCACCAAATGTCCATCTATACAATAAACTGATCTACCAATTAGGGGAAGCTGGACGCATAAACGATGCTTTGAAGACATTTGAAAGAATGTGTTCTGAGAGTTGTTATCCTGATACAAGGACCTACAATGTTGTCATCAATCTCCTTGGTGGCGTTGGGAAAGTCGATTTGGCGCATCAGCTGTTTGAGCAGATGAAAGAGAAGGGTTGTAAACCTAATCTTCAGACCTATAATATCATGGTTGGTCATCTAGTACGAGCCGGTCGGTATCAATTGGGTCCTAAATTATGTCGGGAGATGGTAGCAAATCATATTGAGCCTCGTGAGGGCGCTTTGAAAATTCTTCAGTTTCATGAAAAGGCTTCTGGAGGTCACGATGAACTTGCCATGACTTGCATGGACATACTGAAGGGAGATGGATCAGCATTGATGGTGAATGATGCTTAATATGACTTTGGGCCTTAGGAGTAAGTATGCAGACATTGTGGTAACCATATTCGTGCGCTTCACTGGGAGTGGTTGATGAAACCCAATATCTGTGCAATACGGAGCCTTTTTCGCTGCTTGTTGAGTAGGGAAATGCTTGCAGTGCTCTATAACATGATTGGATTTCAGTTCAAAATTTAAATGCTTAGCACACTTAGTCGTGCTATTAGGAAGTTGAGATACTTTGGAAGCTTCGAAGTCTTTTGTGCCATCTGTAGATTTGAAATGTGACATTGTATAACGCTAACCCGGCGGGCCTGAAATTTGACTCTGCCGTGGTCTGCTTTCTTGTAATTGCACCTATTTATTGTTAATTGAAAGTTCACTGTTCTAGTAAACGCTGATTAAATGGGTGTGCGTGTAAAATTAGGTGATTAAGTGTCCTTGGTTACAGTTGTGACGAGTATGGGATCTGATGCGGCTGACTATGTCTGAAGCTGTCAGCTCAACTGCCACAAGTTGTTGGTACCCTCATAATTGTAAACAAGTTCCTCAAAATTGCCTTAAGGCATGTGCCCAATTGCAAGGACTCAGGGTGAGGTCAAGGATTAATTCACTTTTGAACTTATTATTACGTATGAACCTATTGAACCAATCTTACGAGTGAGAACTCTTTCATGACTACGACTCTTGCTCACTAAAACTCCGTGAATTTTGCTTCTTAAACCCTCGTAACTGCGGCACGTCACAATATATGGACCTTTCCTTTGATTAGTATGGCTGCAGTCCAATTCGCGCGATGAGGAGATAATCGAGGATTGTCACTTCACCACATCCAAAATAGTCTGTAAAGTCCTGTGGTGGAGCTTGCAGAGTGCAGTGAAGTAAAAGTGGAGCTCCAGGGTCGGTGGGACTTTAGTGACTTCCAGATCAAGGCAAGGTGCGTCTATAAAGTAGGAAAATCAGGAGGTGAAAGTGGCGAAAATGAGAATGAAATGGACACTTGTAACGATAATTCGTCATTTGTGAGTTCATTGCAACATCTGAACATCTTAATTCCGGAGGCCAATTCCATTCCCACTGCCAGATCAGGTCAATGGTAAGGTGGGTGCAATCGCGCACGCTTCAAACTCCATGACTACGAGTTTTGGTTAAGCTGCTTGAGGTTGTCGAATCGAGAGGAGATATCCTTCTGTTGAGGTGGGTAGTGGGATTGAGGAGTTTATCACACTGAGGCGTGTCTTGAATGGTGGATTGCTTTGCTCGGCGCCTCAAACAAGCCAGTTAGCACTCTGGAGCTTATAACAAATGAAAAAGCTCAATTTGTAGGCGCTTTCGGCGTGGTTTGTGGGTGTCTGTGACCCTGTTCAGCGTTAGGTTTAGAACGAGAATGTGCAGGGAACCTTACAACGTTGTGCAATTGGCAATTGAATAGCACGTTGGAGGGTTACGTAATGATTTCCAGATTTAGGGGAACTTTAGCAGCTGTAGTCTAGCGCAATTTTCAATCTCCGAAGCAGGGTAGGTATATGGTGCATTCGTATATGTGATGGACAAGGAGGTAGTGGACTTTGATAGTATCTTGTGGAGCTCACTTCCGCCAGACATATGGGAGAGAGTGCTTTCATACTTGCCAGAGAGAGCTTTGTGCAAATTTCGCACCGTTTGCAAGAAATGGCATTCGTTACCCACATTTAGAAGTTTTCGTGATCTCCGTGCCGAACTGCATCCGAAGCAACCCACCATCATTGTCGCACATTGTTACAGGTTTGGAGCAGTGTACGATAGAGAGCAGAACGATTGGTCGGTGATCGATTTTTCGTTTCTCCGGGCTGCATTTGCTGCCGTTGGCGTTAGATATTACAAAATTCAAGCTGCTGAGGGTAGCTTGCTGGCTGTTTGGTCGGCTTCCAGCAGCGAGAAAAAGAAAGCTGTGGTGATATGCAATCCCGTGGCCAAGACCTGGAGATATCTCCCTCCCATGGCGATTCACACAGACATCCGCATGGTGGTACACATGGCGGTGGATAAGAAAACCAGTGGGTTGCGAATCTTTGTGTTTGGGTTTGAGAATCGCACCACCAGTGAGCCCTTGTTCCAGATTTACGACTCGCTTTCGAATTCCTGGAGCCTCTATAGTTACCCCTCTCGCATCCTCCAGTCCAGCCGTCCTCTTTCAGGTGTGTTGCACAATGAAACGTTTTACGCACTCTTTTACGACATCGTGGCGCAGAACCACATCTTAATGTCATTCAACGTGGCCGAGGAGCTCTGGACCGATGTACGCGTTCACTTCCCAAGGTTTTTTGTTACAGGGCAGCTATTAGTAGCGAACTCACGGCTCTATTTAGTCACCCCATGCAAAGAAATTGGCGGGCATCCTACGCGGTTCGTGTTGAACCTCGACATTTCAGAAATCTGCATCCCAGCAAGTAAATGTTCTCGAGTGACGGAGCTGCCGTCATCGGTGTTCAGCCTCTTATTTGGCAGCTCTCACAGGGTGTGCCTGTCTTCCTGGGTTACCATGGTCTTTGATAACTCTATCTGCTTTGTTTCGAATCTAGGTCAGACTATAGTCCATAACGAAGTTGCAGATCTCTGGCATCCTCTGACGCCATGTAGCATTCCTACAGTAGGTCTCTTGTTTGGGTCATCCTTTACGCTTGACGTCTGTATGCCTGTGTAAGATTGGTACAAGCACAAAATAACTGATTTGCTAGGTGATGAAGCCCACACCTAAGTGAAAATTGCGAGTATTTTGATGTTGTGTGGTAGATTTGAAGGTAGCTCCAAGGCGTTATGTTTCCTTGTTAAGGTGTTTACATGTCCATTGCATGGAAACCTTGGCCAGTTTTGTGTAAATTTGACATGCACACGAGAAGCAGATGTTGTCAACTTCAATCCTGGTGGTTTCCATGTCTATTTTAGCTTGAAGCAACTGATATTGCATCCGTGATTGTTGCAGTTACTCTATTGTGAGTTCTTTTTCTCTCGTTTCGACGACTGGATCCGAACATTTTGTTCAAGCTCAGGGTTGTAGTAGTGCGGATTATAACCTCGGCATGATCTCTGTTTGCAAACGCTGCATCAGATGTCGTAACATTCCAACACAGTTGCTACATCTTGACCTAAATTTTGTCTCTTCCGCTGGCACTAATTTCTTTGGGCAGCACCTTCAAAACCAATTTTATTTTCCATGTTTTTAATGTGTATTTATAAAGTTGGTAAAGGTACAACTTTGAATTTTTGAAGTAGATTTTACACACATTTTTTTCTGTTACAGGACCAAAAATGGAACAGTTTTAAAAATCCATCGTAAGAAGTGAATGTGAAATGTTTATCAGCCAGTTGCTCAAGAATAGTTGTAATGTTTAGTACAAGTGGATCATTTTGAGTGGTAGGTAGCAAATAAGGCTACCCAACAAAACGAAAAACGATTTTAATTTTTTGAAAAACTATCAAATGTCTATTAACATTTTTATCATGATGTTGTTTTGGAAAATTTAGTAAAAACATCAATGTTATTGAAGGACTTCTCAACTGCTTGAGCCATATTGGCACCTTTGTTAAAACTTCTGAAATGCCCTCGTCTTGTAATGAAAATAGTACACCTATTTGAAATCAATATTTCAATTAAAAATGATATAGTCATTTTGGCAAAAATAAATACAAACACACAAAAAAAAGAAAAACTTTATTTTAAATATCTACTGCCAATGCACATACACTTGACTGAAGGTTTTTAGCACTAAATTATTATATGTGTTTCACATATGAAGGCTTATAACAGCCAGCATCCAAGAACAGATAGAGCCAAAACACCAAAGTAAAATAGTGCAAATCAAAATACAATCACAAACTAGAATACACAATTTTCTTTAGTGTTCTAGAGTAGGCTATGCATATTCTACACATCATTTTTTTTTTGCATCAGTAACAATTGTTTCAATAAAAGTAAGAATGCATGTAGCGTCATAAAAATTACATCAAAAAAACTGCATGATTTCAAAAAAAAAAAAAAAAAAAAGAAAATGCAAGGCACAACCATGGATTCCTACTGAATCACATGGAGCATGACTCAGGCTCATAAACCAACACCTCTTTCAATAGTTTCACCTTCTTGCTCACAACTCGTTGTAATAGATCTGAAAGCTTTGCCAAAGCAACAGGAAGAGAGCTTGAGCGATTGCGTGAGATTTGGACACTGTTGCAGCCCAGTAGCAACAACGTACAGTACTCATCTGGTTTGGGTGTTGTGATCTAACATCGGTTGGGTTTCGGTGAAAGTCCCACTGCTGTTGAGGTTGCGAGAATGTGAGTCAGATTCGTCTCCCTGCTCACTGTGTGCATCAATCATCTCAAGCTCAGTCTCGTCTACCAAGCTAAATTTCTGGAACTCGTAAGATGTGGCGAGCTCGGCTTCAACAAGTGCTAATGCGCGGGCACGATCTCGGTCCCGTGGGTAGGTCCAATATAAGAAAGTGTAGATGAGGCAACAGATCGTGAGAGGAGCGCCTATGGCTGTGTACAGCGCCTTGGAGAGCGACAAGGCATTTTCTCTATCCACCTTATCGGCACTCTGGGTCTTCCCTGCTTGAGGAGGGATGTAGCCGTAAGCTTTCTCTGCAAGAACTCCAACCACAGGTGGAGCGAAAGAAGCCAGCAAGGATTCAAACGACCGGTCCAATGCGTAGATGCTTGTACGTGCACTCGCGGGGACAATTTCTGCAAAAATAGGGCTATTTATACCCACAGACACGCACTCAGGCTCAACAGCTCTTTGAAAATCACGACTGCATGCTGCAAACCGTCTAATAGTACACAGAACACCGAAGAATGCTGTGATTCTAGATAAATCCGAGTTAGTATGATCATGGTTAGAATAATGTGTGGGGAGGAAATAAGCGGATGATACGTGACAATGCTTACTTGTTTGTAGCAGCTGCATTCCAGGAGATGCAAAAGCCCAGAATGAAAATCATGATGCCGTGCCATATGGGTGTGGATGGATCAATGGGCACGACCAGCAAGAGAATGCCCGCCAAGGGAATGCCAAGACCAGAACTGATCTGAGACAGCATGATTCGACCTGCATTTGGCATACGCAGGGACAGAATGTCTCCCATTTTGCCACCGAATAGGCCACCGAGAGAGTTGGACACGGCGAACACGCCCAGAAGCACCGCTGTAGTTCCATGTGAGAATCCAGTGAGTTCTAGCCACATGGGTGCGAAGGCCAGCGCTGCCCAGGGGAAGTTGCCTGCTACACCTTGCGCGACAAAGATTTGGAATGTGCGAATCTGACAGACTTGTTTTGCTTCCACAAGCATTGCTTTCAGACCTTCCCACCAACCTCGATTCCTAGATTAGCAACATCGGCAATGAACACATGTTGGTAAAAGTTTACCTCTCTCTCTCTCTCATATATATATATATATATATATGGAGGATTACTATTCATAAAGTTAAATTACTAAGAACAACAGATTGTATTCAGCAGTTGTTTTGGCATGAATGAAGGTATCAGTTTGCAGCACTTGTGATATAGTGATATTGTGGTTGGGGTTAAGTGGAAACCCCTTTTATCTTGATGATAGTGTCTCATTCGCATTCCATACAATCTATGTGATAGATGTGAGTGCTTACGGAGGTGGAGAGTATCCTCTGGAGAATCTCGGATCAACTGCAAAGCACCACACCATGGCTGCAACTACAACGCTGATGAGTGCGACGAGGTGGAAAGACATTCGCCATCCTGGGTAGCCATAAAAGGTATGTCCAGCTAAAATCACAGATAAAAAACCCCCCAAGATGGATCCAATGTTGCCAGTCAATTGAAGCCAGCCGAACGCCACACCTCTCTCATGCTCTTTTGTTGAGTCGGCAATAAGAGACTGAATTGCTGGTACCACCATCGCTAATCCCACACCGTTAAGAGCCCGGGAAATTACTACCTGGAATCATAAACCCCTTCGTTGTATCAGCCACTAGTCAACTCAAACCCTCAAGTCCAAGAAATGAGCAACGTGGTCCAGGTCATGAAATTCAGTCTAATTTCAGGTCATCACGTAACGTTGTTGTTACAATTCACTCCACAGCAACCACCGTGTATAAAGAAAAAGTCCAGCCAAACTTGTGTCGCAACAGGTACATGAGGATTTGCACAAGTAAATGCTGCTTCTACTACTGATGGCAACAGATGAATTACACCGAGAGAGATATAAAATAAAATAAAATAAAAGACGCCACGGTATTCTCTGACGAAGTTGGACAAAGCTAAGTACTTGTGTGAATGTAGCAGAGATGCCGACAAAAAATGTGGCCACGGCCCACATAATCGCCCCAAACGCTATCACATTCGCCCTGTTGTGGTTCACTGCTGCATAGGCCGCCAACGGCGCGCAAATGGCTTGCACCAGGGATCTCACCAAGGTTAGAGAGCCCAACTTGGCAGGGGAAGCGTGCAGCGCCAACCCAATTTCCCTGTACACTCCAGGAACCAAGGCTTCGTCAGCCCGCTCCATAATGGAGGCTAGATTCACCATCAACAGAGTGCGGGTGGAATCATCGTTCCACCACCTTTGAGCATACATCTCTCCTTATGTTTCCCACCACTCCTTATTCTGGAATTCAATTTAGTAGATGAGCAAGGCACTTTCTGTGTCCTAGGTTTTCATCAGTTTTGTTGGCGGTATGAATCACTCTTGTATCGAGAGGAGATTCAACTCCTTCGTATCATCATTGACCAATGGAGGTGAATGAGAGAACCACCGCATCTTGCAATTCTGATTGTTGGTGCTAAACCGACGGTAGGACTACCACTCCCAATTAGCCGTTTTTTCGTGACCTGACCTCGAAATCCCGCGGCAATATGTCTAACCTCCAATCATGCAGTATCACCTCGGTGGATACAATAGAAAGAATTCCTCGAAAACTTTGGATTATTGAACGTAATCTGTGAGCCACATGGAAAGTGTTGGTATTAGATTACTCTGCAAGGCACACAAACTCTTCGATAAATCTTTCCTAGACATCCGTCTCAACGAGGAATACGAGAACTAGGAGTGGCTTGTGTTCCTAACAAGTTGCTGCTAAGGAAGCTTTTCACCAGCATCGCTCTCTACAACACTACCAGACTACATTCTATAAACCTACCCTAGAGGACGAAGCGAAATCACCCCAATTCCCGCAGGAGAAAGTTAAAACCAGCAAATCAAAAACAGGATGTCTGGAAGACAAAAATATCGCGCAGTGGACACTAGATTGAGAATGTTCTTGCGGGAGAGAAGATGAGAGGGGAGCTGCAGTGACTAGTGATCAAAATTCTACAGCTAGAGAGCTGCGAGAAAGTTGCCGAGCTGGGTTAGCCAGCTCAAATTCGGACACACGTGAAATCAACCATTCTCGAACCCCAAAACTGTGCAACACAGTGACAATAGAAGTTGAATCTCAACAAGAGAATCCGAATCAACAAGAACAGAAACACCAACAGACGAGAATTGCAAAATCCACACTCGTTTTGAGATCCTCCTCCTCCTCCTCAATTTCACCAACCACAAACTAACCTGTCTAGATTTAAGCTGGAAAGCGCAAGCACTCCAGAACAGCAGTAACCAAAGACAACTCCTAGCCATAACAATCACACGTGCACACAAACACCAACACTGAAAATTTGGCATGGGAAGGAAAAGTGAGCAGACAAAAGTCTGCTGTAGAGGATCTGTATTTTTACCCCCTGAAGGTAAAAACCATGAGCTTCTTCGGTGCTCCGTGCTCCAACATGGCAAAGCAACAACAAATGCTGCAAAAGCAACAAAACAAACATACACTCACATACATCCATACCCTTGTTCAACGTTGCTTCTTCGGCACAGCCATCTTTCTTTCTATGGTAGTGACACAGTTGGAGTGCAAGAGAAGGGCCACATGTACTCACTGACTTACTTACTTACTTACTTACTTACACACACTGGCTATTCTCTTAGTAGGTTTTGTCACTCTCTTTATAATATTGATGATGTGGCTGCTATTATGAATCTACCCACAACATGTTGGTTTTTGTTTCTGTTTTTGTTTTTATTGTTGTTGTTGTTTGTTTGTTGCTGTTGTTGTAGTTGTAGTTGTTTTTTTTTTTGTTATCATATTAGAGGCAAATTTTATTTATGAATTGATCGTGCGTAGTCAAGATTTTATTGTTGAGATTTGAACTCTGAATTTTAGCAATGATATTTTGTAGTTTTTGGGTATGTTTTGTCATTTTTTTGATGATTTGAAGTTATTTTAGATTTCATGATGTTGGTTTTTAGATGTCAAGTGTGGTGTACAAAGATTCGAGAAGTGTGGAGGCAATAATTAATAAAATGTTATAAATTTTAAAAATTATTATATTTCATTTGGATGCTCCATTGTTCTTTCTAGCTACAATTTTATACATAGTGGTCTTTTAAAGAATGCTTATAATAAAATCACCTTTACATTAGTTAATATATTAAAGATTAAAGAAATATTAATATGTGGATTTAAAATTTAGAAAATAATTTCTATTAAAAAAATATTAATACTATTTTTTAACTTCTTTTTAAAGTAATCTCTTCAATTAATTATTTGACAATATTTAAACCAATCAATCTAAATTTTATCATAAATATCATAGATATTTGCATTATTGAAGTAAATAGAAGTATATAAAAAATAAAAAAAAAAATGAAAATGTTATACAACAGTGTAGAAACTACTTGGATACAAGTTTGATTTATAAATGTCACTACATGCACTATGTGGTTATAAAAACTTTTCTTAAAATACTTTTGGATCTATAAAAATCAATAAACATTATCTTACAACTTAAATAGATATTTTCTAAATATCATGGTTTTTTTTAAAAAAATCTCCACCTAACCTTTATATTAGTTAATATATTAAGACATGACTAAGGCCAAATTTAGTTTTATCAACACATCTCTTGTAAGTCTTATGTTTCAAGATTATCTAGACTTCTTGAACTTGACAATGATTTTTGGTGCTTATTATTATATAAATAATTTGCTACTTTAATTCAATTTATTAATCTTTATAAATATTTTACAAGAAATAAGTTAAATGATTAAAAATTATTTTGACTATAAAATATGTTAAGATATATAATTTTTTTATTTAGGTCTGCATATAATTTTATTGAAAACTAAATTCACCACATTAAACAATTATGATGATACTGGTCTTATTTTATAATTTTTCAAAAATTAAAGTCCATATTGATTTTTTTATCAGTAAAACAAAATGAGTTTGAAAAAATTTAAAATGAACTATTCAAAATTTAATAGAATAAAAAGTAAAAAATAGTTGAATACTCATATGAAACATCAGACAATAAGAAAGTTATTGTACTCTCTCTCTCTCTCTCTCTCTCTCTCTCTCTCTATATATATATATATATATATATATATATAATAGAACATTATCTATTTGTGATGACAAAGCTAATTCTATATAAGTAATAGATTATAACATAATGAGTCATTCTAGATACTAAAACAATTCCTATAAGAAAAAATATATGTTTATATATATATATATATATATATATATATAAAATCAAACAACCATCTCTATTATAAAACTATAAAAATATAACATGTTTGTTTCCCTTACACCATATATCAAACAAAATATTAGTTTACTAGATTCAAAACTACCAACTCAATGTAATGATTTTTGTTGATTTTAAAATAAAAAAAATAAAACAAAATTTTCTGAGGACAGCTGAACTTACACATGCAACACTGGTATCTTAATAATAACAAAGAAAAGAATAGAAAAGACAGTGTTTTAAATTTTAAAGTTGAAAAGAACTACTAGATACTCAAGAAAAAGCTAATTATTTTTTAAAAATTAATTTCTAATATAAAAGATTACATTTGACTCTATTTACACAACTTTTGACTCTATATTTGTTTTCCCCATAATGTAAAATTGCAAGTACATTTCTTCACATCTATTCAAACATGAGATCGAAGCATCCATGGTCCCCAAGTCGAACCAACTAACTACATTCAGGGTTTGGGTTCATTCTATTTTAGTGATTGCACGGGATAAGGTCCTTACTCCGCGGTCCCACAGTTGCACGAAATAAGATCCGTTTGTTGCACGGTATCAGGTCCCGTTGTGTGGTTTCGCGGAGTGTAGTTGTAGTTTGTAGAGGGCAAAGGAAGCCTCACCACCATAGCCGAGGAGCCACCACCTCCGACTCACTCTGTTTAGTTTAGTAGGAAAAACGATAACAGATCTCAGTCTGTTTGGAATGCTTCGCGTAGCATCGTGGGCTTGAATTCTTCTTCATTCATGCCACATTTTTAGTTTCAATCGTCGCTGCGGTTTAGCGTCGGCTCTTGGCCGGATTTTGAGGTTCGCTCCTTTGGTGATATAGCACTTGTGTTTGTCGGCGGAGACCCTTTGAACCATGAAGGTGGACGAGTGCGAGCGGATTTGCAAGAGGATTTCGCGGGGGGTAGTGTATTGGGCTTCTGAGTTGGTTGGTAGCCTGCTGTAGGAGGTGTGTTTGTGGATGTGGAGGTGTTTGCCACAACTGCACGATTGGTGTCAGAAGCTCCGTTGGTTGATTTTCTGAACGCCCTTGCCTTGTGGTATGATTTTGTACCATATTTATGGAATTTTTTTTGATTTTTTTTTACTATGTGGTGATTTGTTTTGTGGCAAGCATGCATTGTGGGTTGTAGGGTTGGAGGGTTTTGGGTTTATGCATGCACCAACTTGAAATTGTGCAAGAGGTCTATATTTATTGCTTTAAATGCCCTGCTGTCAACTTATTGCTCGCTGTTGTTTACGTAGGGGTTCATCTAATAATCATGCAATCTTTCTCTGTAGAAATTTTAGAATAATAAAGATTCTGTGCAGATAGATGTCCTTTGAGCATGCCTGATTATTTAATTTTTTTAATTTTTTGTGTTTCACTACATAGTTCTTCTTCCTGGTCCATTTGGTTACTTATTCCTAATGTTTATTGCGAGATGATCTATTAAATTAAGATTGAGTTGTTCCAATTTGGTGGTCCCTTCTTTTGCAGTCAGATAAAATAGTTTCTGAGGGATGGAGGAAATTCTTCATGGTTCACGATCAGCAGCGGCACCCCGGACAATTACTACCTTAGCAAATGTGGCAAAGGGTTCTCACTTGGGCGGCATCCCGCGACGTATGGTCTTGACTACAGTGGGAGCTATAACTAAGTTTTATGGCATCCTTCTAAACAACACCAAGGTTCCGCACTCATTCCAAGCAGATCTTAAAATGCTATTAGAAAGATAGGCTGTTGATTTCACGCTGCACGACCGCATGGTTTCTTTGTGTTACAATTCCCCCTTTCAATATTTGAAAAACTCCAGCAGTTTCGTCTCCTAACATTCTGAATACCAAGGGGCATTTCTCGCAGGTGCATAATGGGGACACACTGTTGTCGCTGGTGAAGTCACGCCCACCTGGTACTCCTCTCGTGACTGTCAGTAACCACATGTCGACGTAAGTGCTGGTAATTTGTTGATCGCATAGATGCTGCATTTAATGATTGCGCGAGTGTGGTTTAGTAGACTTTGTGCTGGTGAATATTTATATAATACTGAAAAGCTATACGTATCGTGTCACGTGCAGTTTGATTTCTGAAATTGTAATCTTTGGAGCATGCACTAATTTCTCTTAGGCCATCTTATCATCATGTTGTCAGTGGAGTTGTTCCTTTGTTCGCTCCGCTTTTCATTCTTGCTTTCGCTTAGCAGGCTGGACGATCCCCTGATGTGGGGGATCCGAGGCTTACCTCTGGCAGATCCAAAGCGATGTCGATGGACATTAGCTGCCGAGGATATATGCTTCACAAACGTGTTTTTCTCGTATTTTTTCCGCCTGGGTAGGTAGTACTTACTAGGTACTGTGCTGCTCTTCTTCTTGTTGCATGGCTTTTTAATTTTTATATGAAATGATTATATGCGAGAGTTAAAAAGCAGCTTGACTGGTTTGATGATAGCATTCTTTTCTTGTTTTTTACTACAATCTGCCATTGATCTACATGTAGGCAAGTGCATACCAATTACAAGGGGTGCGGGCATTTATCAACCTCATATGGCTGAGGCCCTTGAGCGTCTCAACGAAGGAGAGTGGGTAATTTGTTTAATTTTTTTACCTTGACGAACGAAAACTGTTTTTCCAGTATGAAGAGTAGTTCTATTTTCCAGTATCTAGCAAGCCCCAGTAAACTGATGAGTCTTGGGAAGATAATTCTGTACTTAATTTCCGAAATTCTGTTGTTTCACTTGTAGCTCAATACATTTCCCGAAGGCAAGGTATGTCAAGAACTTGGGCCTCTTCGGCGACTGAAATGGGGTACAGCGAGTCTGATCGCTCGGGCTAAGGTTTCTCCTATTTTATTACCCATTGGTCACAGCGGGTTTGAAAAGGTGAAATATGTTTAGCTATCATGTGTTTATTTAGTGAAACTCTAACTTGTGGTTTTGATGTGAGTAAATTCTATTCTGCTTGAATGATATTTCTGACTCGGGATCATTTTGTCTGGCTGAAATGATACTCAACTGATGTGAGAGAAGCGGGTTCCGCATCGTAATCCTGGGCCACTATTAGATTTATTTGCCCGTCTGAAAGGTCTATCGGTAGTGTGGGTAATTCCGCTTAAACTACGGCGGAATGAATTTTGAAATCGGACCTGCGCTGTTGTTGACTTAGGTATTTGCTTAAGGCTATATTGCATGTGGGCTTTACTGGTCTTGATATTTTTTCCTTGAGCACACTTCAATATTGACACAATCAGGTTACTTCACCTTCGATATTTGATAGTCCAATGTAATTAGAACTTCGTCGTTTAGGCTTGTGTACCCTCGATTTTCATAAGCAACCCTCTCCTGAAAATGATAATCAATCGGTTAAATCTTGGAATATGTCCAACCAAGTTCGGTGAAGAATGCTGACCTCCTCTCTTTACTAATGTTAACATCTTGGCATAAATTTCTCTTTTGCAGGTAATGCCCGAAAATTACTGGAATGGGCGTCGGCCTCTTCTTCCTCTGGTCAACAAAAATGTAGACATTGTTGTTGGAGAGCCTATGGTGTTCGACATTCCACGCCTGAAGCAGGCTGCCGTCGATTTGGCGAGTGCATCTGTAGATGTGGCTTCCAGTGGCAGTGTTTCAAGTGAAGCTGATGACAGAAAGTTCCCACTCCTTGGGAGCAGTATGAAGAATCCCAATCCCCTAACCAAAGGAATTACAAGATTATCATCTATTCAACAAGTTGCAAATACTTTAGAGACGATGAAGACTAATGGGGCAGATGTACCTGGGCCATTGCTAGATGAGGCTGCATGGAGATGGATATACACGCACATAACTGAGCACATTTGGGTTGCATTAAGCGAGGTAACACAGAAGGCGAGAACCATTGGCCAATTGCGAGCAGATTCTTAATGGCTTCATTCATTTTTTCTGTATCCTATTTATATTGTAGATTGCATCTGGTCAGTCATTGATTTGGGAGACTGATAGCATTAGGTGGAATTCGTGTTGTTTGGAGTATACAATTGACCTGAATAATTCCTGATGTAATTTAAAATAATAAAGAATGATTACTGCAGTAATATTTATCCATTCTTTCAATTGTGTGCTGGCATGGCAACGGGCAATCTGTGGCTAAATGAACAGTTCAGACTACTCTTTGCTGCATGGACTCGTTCAAAGCTGTAGAAACGCAGGTTTCAGGTTTTTAGATATCATATGTGGCAAATAGGATGAGAATACTTCATGCTTGGATTCTGATTTTTCATGCCAGCTGATGACACTACGGTGACCGTGTAAATACTCCACTATTGTTTGAATGATCAGTTTTGAAGGCAGTAATCTGGCAACCACATCGATCAATAGTTTGTTTTCTGATGTTAGAACTTGTCAACCTACAGAAATTGTATGAAATGACTTGACAAAGACAAAATATAGAATTCATACCTTTACACGTACTTTTCGGCTCATGACAATGAAGTAGTTTGTCGCAAGTGCCAAGTGTAAGAATTATAGATATGCCTCACTCAACAACTCGCCTGAACATCGTCGATGGCTGTTTTCCTTTGGTCTTCAGACACAGGATTCAGATCTGGAGAAGACTCCGTGAGACTGTCGTGGAGTCAATGAAATCGCCGGCACAACTTCGATGATGAAAACTCTGGATATCTATTCTCCAGCTTTTATAATAGAAGATGGGTCTCCCCATGAACTTTTAATCAATTGATTAGCTTCGTCGCGATTTCTCACTTTTGATTAAAAAAAATAAAAATTGCACGGTTTCATTGAGAAAATGGCATAATTCAGTGCAATCTTTGAACTGAGATTGTGAAATAAAACTTGATCCCAGCATTCAGACTTTTTTCTTCAGGACACACTTCCGACTACCAACATGCACTTCACGAGACAAGAGCAACAGGGAATACCCGAACGACAATGTATTCAGATTCGAACTTTTAACAAGCACCGAAATTGCTCGTTAACTAGGAAAGACATAAATATGGGCATTAGTTATCATGAATTCCAAGTAAGTGAAAAACATCGTCGGCTCCTTTTAGTTCCCGATCATTCAGACCACAGAGTGCGTAATCTACTCTAATTTTATGGGGTTCTTTTATACTCATTCCACAGCTCTTCCACCTCCTTGTGAACAATCTGTTGGAAAAAGTCTTCGCTCCACGAGTTCTTCATCTTCTTGTTCAATTTCTTTACAAAATTCTCGTCGTAACGATAGCATATCCAATCCAGAAAGTAGGCAGTTGTCTCGTACCCATCATACCAGTGTGCAGAGGGTGCCTTTTTCCAGTGAGGGGGTGCAAGATCTGCTCGGAGCCGGATCCAATCAGCCACACCTTCTATCACGCCACGGAATTTCGCATCTCTATAATTGCCTTCGTTGTTCTGCCAAACATGAACGGATTCATGGTATATCACGCCCTTGATCTCCTTCTTATCATTTTTTTTTTCCACAATATAGTGGGCCGAGAGCTCAATCTTATCACCTACTGTTACTGCTGGTATGCCTCGTTGCAATTCCACGACGACGAGGGTGACGGTGGAATGATCCTTCACCTCGCCGAACTTTTCCTTGCAGAATTTTTTGGCGTCGCGCAGCAATTCCTCCCAGTACTTGGTTCCAAACTCGTCAAACACCTTGCCTACTGCAGTGTTTGAACCATCATTTTTAACTGTGAATATGGTGCTAGTACCTCCACTACCCATAGTGAGCACCTGCTAATAGCAAACGAAGAGCAAATCTAACCGCAAAACAAGAGCCTCACCTCGCAAATCAGCAACAAACAAGGCGAATTTCACAACTCGGGGCTACGATCACAAATATATCACAAACCTCACTCACCCTAGAAACTGAGCTTCGCGTACTAATACTTCTATCGATCGATCTGCGACTTTCTTCACCAGAAATCACAAAGGTTCTCCACTGATCCACTCATGGTCTCGAAAAGAATGTTAAATAGACCCAATGTTATATAGATCCACTCATGGTCTCTGTTAAATAGACCCACTGTTTTAGTAAATAGACCCACTCTATCGTAACCATTATTAGAAAAATGAATCATCTATATCTATATAAACCATAGTTACAATCATGGTCCTCATACTGACTCTTTGTTCCTAGCCCCATTATTAGAAAAATGGATCATCTTCATAAATTATCATTACAATCATGGCCCTCATCTTGACCCCTTGTTCCTAGACCCTTGAAATTATCCTTCTGTTTTGAGCTTTCGTCTTGATCCCATGTTTCCTCTTTCCTAATCCTCGTCTTGACCTCCTCAATTTCTAATCTTTGCTTCCAATCCCTACTACCAACTCTCATCACCATTATGAGTCAACAAACAACGTGATTAAATAATTCAAAGTATATTTGTCTTTTCTAGTTGAAGACAAGTTCTAGAGAATTGCTAATATGGCAACTTGAGTTAAAATTGTTCCAATATCTAGTCTACAATGTGGTATGTAAAAATAAAGACATAGTTATAATAAAAATAAATAAAAAAACCTAATTGAATAAAATAAAATTAGATTGCACTTAAAAAATAAATTCAATAATCATGAATTTTATAAGAAATAATAAAAAAGACATAAAGTTGTTAAGATGAATTGCAAGTAGAAAATTTAGTAGTAGACAATTAACAACAATCTTTCTACAAGATAACAAATTACAAACTATAAAAATAAAAGTTTATATATTATAAAATGATTAATTAAAATATAAGCTAAAAAAAATTAATTCTAAAAAAATTAAATAAAATCAAATAGGGTAATAAGTAAACAACATTAGAACAATATACAATAAAAGTAGTTATAAAAAAGTGCAATAGATGTTATAGCACTAACATGCCAAAAAAATGATGTACTATATACATATATACATAAATGATATTATATAAAGAAGATTATTCAACAATTATACAAGAATACAACAAGCCATCAGAATAAAACACAACATGAAAATTACAAGCAATTATATCAATACATCTTGTTTCTAGTACAATACCAAACTGCATATATAAAAGATAGAAAAAGTGTAGAGTGTATATATATATATATATATATATAATATTTTGATTCTAATTTTTTCTTTTAATTAAATCTTAACTAAAAATAACTTGATTGGATTGTTATTTATATATCTAATTGATATATAAGTATATTTAATATAAAATACTTTATATTTAAGATATTTTATGTTCAATATAAAATGATATTTTAGAAGTAGACACATAAATTTAAGGTTTTTTAAAATAATGTGATCTTAAATTTGTTATGTTTGGTATGGCATGTAGTTTAATTATGTTAGTTTTTTTGTTTATAAGTTATTATTTTTTAATAAATTAATAGATGAATTAAAATTATATTATATTGATATATAATATTTTATTAAATGTTTATAAAAATAAAAATGATATATAACAAAATATAGTAGATGAGATAGTAATAAATTAAGTAAGAAGAAATGATATATATGATATAATTACCTAAACATACAATTCATATAACAATAAATGAATCAAACTTTAAATCGTTTAAGTTGGATTTTTAAAATATAATTTCATACAATATTATATTTTGCAAATAATACATATCTAATTTTAGGAAATTTATGTTAGAAGTTTTAATTTAATAAAAATAAAATAAACTATTTTTAAATTTTATTGGATCTTACATCTAAAAATTAAATGATGTATATGAATTGAATATGTTTATGTATTTTATTTTTTTAGCAATGTGATGCAATTCATATAAAGACATTAAATATATATATATATATATATATATATATATATCAAATAAATCTTAAAACAAAAATAGTAATATTTTATTTATTTACAATTTTGAAACACCAGAAGTGAGTCCATTTAGTTGAATTGTGGTCACGTGCATCTGTGCTTTGACTAAGCAGATATTTGAAATTTGGTACATTTCTTTCTCAAGAAATGTAATTCAAAATCTGCCAATTGGATAGTCAAACACATTGTTATATATATATATATATAGATATACATATCTATATATTTATATTTAAAATAAAACTAAAAGTAAAAATGTCTAAATTTAATATATTCTTCTAATACTAAAATTTGTGATTCAAACAATATACTAATGTGCTTGTTATCTAATTTTTTAAATATTTTTGTATCATAATACAAGCTAGTCTATGATAAAGCATGTTTTTTTTGAGTCATACCTTTAATTGTTTTGTTAAGTCTCTACCTTATAGTAGCTTTTGATTGCAATCTTTTCCAAGAATAAGTAATAATGATATTGTTGGTTGTCTTTATATTTTCTCCTAAAAGCCATAAAAGATTTACTTACATCAGTTAAGAATATATATATATATATATACATATATATATGTACAAATAAAATAATAATTTTAGCTTATTGAAAATATAAAATATAATAAAAGAATTCAGAGATTATTAAAAATAGATACAAGTTTCAAAGATTATAAAATGTAATACTATTTTATTCATACATGATTAAAATAAATCTTATAAAAAATTCTCACATTTAAATTTACTATATGCCATATGATTGGATCTTTTATTTTAATTAATTGAAAATATTCAATATCTAGATATTAGATATTATTTTAATTAGAAAATTAATGTAATTTTGAAGTTTCAATTTTATTTGAATATGTATCCTTCTGGAATAAAATATTTATTTCATTATTTATTTATCTTTACATAAATATCTATATTTTTACAATATTTTATCTTTGAATTTTGAACATGAAATTAATACTAGCATAACACCTTCAAAATTAGTAGCTTTCAACCCTTAAGTATACATATATATATATATATATATATATAGCATCTACATAGGTTTGAAAAATTGATTATGCAATTCTGATACAAAATGTATTCATGTTTTTTTATGTTGCAAAAATAATTGATACTTTTTGCCGATTGTACATTTTCTGATTTCTTAAAACAATTTTATTTTTTTATATTTATTTTAAGATCAAATAATGTCATAATCATAAATTATAAATATGTCTCATTGTTAACGATCATGATTTAAAACATTTGGAATGACGTTCTCTAAACAGTATCATCGCTTCAAAACCCAAAACTAGATAAAACTTAATACCTTCAGTTCTTAAATACTTCCAAATGGGAAATCTTAGTGTTAACGTTTTATCTCACTCCGGACTACATTTAACAAGGGACGACTGTGTGCAAACAGCCCTTTCAGAACAAAATTCCCAGCAGGCCGTGTTTCAATCCTTCAATTAAAAAAAACCAGAATGGCATTGTGAGATTTATTGGTTACCGTGTTTTTGGCGATGGCCCAGCTGCTGTTCACAACCTTAACTCGAACAGGAAGCCTGGGTTCGTCATTCACATTACGGGTTTGTCAAGCTCCGCTTTCCACCATAACCTCTCAACTTGTAGCTGGGAAGTGATCTACCCCATGATCTACAGAACACCAACAAATGAATCAGTGAATAAGCGAGCACCATCAGAATTTCATACTGTCTTCACTATCTTCACTAAGCTTTGCATCGTCGAGTATATGTACTCGACGTCCTGCACAATTTGCTGCTTCAAGGACTCGAACAAACCTCATTTGCATTGTACCCAACAGTAACAAGTTGATACGTAAACTCGAGCTATAGGTTACTCTGCCCAGGTTTGCTATCAGTGTGACAGAACTTTGTTGCTTGACACAAAGTTTCAGCTGTCTAATTGGGTCCTGAACTACGGTGTCAGTAAACAAACTTAGTAGACGGAACGCCATTTGGAAGTGTTGAGACTTAACAGAACTGGTACGATTGACGTGAGATCAAGACAACAGTAGCAAATTTGCACTGAGAAAAGCAACAGAGAAAGGCCAGTGTGGTTGCCAGTCTGTGTGTTCGTTCTACAGGATGGTCTCAGGCGCTACATCGACTGTCTGTGCAGAACTAAGCACAAAAGAATACAACAAAAGGGACTTACTTGATGAGCTGATTGACCTCCCTCAACTCGGAAGGGTCGGGAGGCCGCATTGCACGATCCTAGTCAATGCAAGAAGAGCTCAGAATGGACAGGAAGCCGTTGTAGTAGCACTACTACTCGGTATGGCTCAGTCCCTCCTCTCCCTGAACATCGCAGGCACCAACTCTGAAGAGCAGAGTATGTGTGTCACAACAGCATCACTACCATGGCCGACAGTGAGAGAGAGAGGACTTCCCTGAGAGTTTTAATACCTATACAAACAGCAATTGTGTGCCTTTCTTTATTATCCAACCAGCACCACTTTTACTCCGGCGGGGTTGGTTGCGTGCAACAATAGATTTGACAACGTGGGAAGTGAAACAGAACCTCAACAGTCACCGATGCGATTTTCGTAACAGAGCTGAAAGTGGGAGTGTTAGAATTTTTAACAGGTTCACAACAACTCTTGTTTCAAAACTAGACTCTGATGTGTTGTCGGCTTAATCACAATTGTATTCCGGATCCAACTGAGAAAGGGTGGGACGCTTTCAGCTTTCAATCCAGATGCGTCCACATATCAACCCAGGATGCAGCAAGTCTCAAACGTTAATAAAATCGCCATTACTGAATAAGCTGGCCTTCTGTGTTTTACAACATGGATAGTGATGGTGCAATACACAAATTCATCAAAAAACAAAATAAAACAAAAGAATAAGAGCAACAGTTTTCGCATATGTGTGTGTGAATATATATATATATATATATATATATATATTTATATTCGATTCATTATTATTCGGAGGTACCAGTTGTCCAAAATGGTAGGAAAGGAAGTGCAAATTCGGCACAAAAAATATACTTTTTCTAGGGCAGGACGATGAGAGAGGACCTAGAGTCGGTTTCTAGAGTGGTTGACTGGACTTCTCCTAACTGCCCGCAGAGTCTGCCCGGCTGCCCGAGACTTGGATCCAAGTGGGGTTTTGAAAATGTACTTCTCTCTCTCTCTATGTGTATATATATATATATATATATAACAACTTTCTGAATATCTTCCAATTCTTTTTGTAACCCTTTTTAATTTTATTTATTTTTTATTGTGTGTTTACGTACCAGGTTATAACTCGTAATTAGTTGCAGCACTACACATTATTCACTTACATCTTCATTTTACAACTGTAGGTACTGAAGTCTGCAAGAAATGTAGTAATTCAGCTCAAAGTAATGATAAAGTATTTGTTTAGATTTTATTTATTTTTTTATTTTTTTTGCATGGTCGACGTTTTTTTATAATTAAAATAAGCCTTAAATCAGAAGATAAATAAAAAATGTTTTAATAAATATAGCTGAAAATAAATCAACGTACTAAAAATAATTTACTGGTTGTTAATATATATATATAGTACTTGATCTAAGAAATGATCATATAGTGTTGTTTTGATATGTGTATTTTAATAATAAATGATCACCATTAAAAGTAATCACCATTAAGAGTAAAACCTTCTATTTATCTTGTAGATATATTTATATAGACAAAATATAATCAAATATCAAGTCATAATAATCTTTGAATTATTTTGAAATATGCATACAATGTACTGATGTAAAAAAATGTAGTTTAGTTTTATGTATTTATTTATTTATATTATGTTGACATGGTTAGGTTACGACACGAGGTTCATATCCAATAATAGGTTTAGCTAGATTTTTGCATTATGCTTTTGTTTCACAACCCCACGGTTTGCAAAACAGAAATAAACTTATTTGCATGTTATATACATACATATAAACGTGCATATTTGCAAATCATGTTTTGATTTACAGATTTTTTTTTTCTTGATTTTTAAATGTAACTATTCAAATTATAAATAATATAATGGTCAATATTCAATGCATGCATTCCAGTGCCTATTCTCTGTAACAAAACATTTTGTTAAAATACACTCCTAGAAGAATAGCCAAAAACAATTCTTTGACTTATTGTACATAACTTTTATGTATCATCTCGTTATGTATCATAGATTTTCAATAAAAAAATTCCATTCTCTGATCAAAACATATGTACTCATAAATAAATAAACCTCTAGAATACTTGTTTTAGAACTGGAGTTGTAAAAGTAATAAATCACCATACCAAATTTTGAAATACTTCTAAAATCATAATATCATGTTGCAAACATCTTGCAATTCACTAGCAAACATATCCATAATTTAAGCTGACATTTTACTGATTATCAAGGTCAACTGAAAAGCATATTGCTACCCTTAATTTAGATGTTTCTGGGTATGTATTTCAGTTGAATGTGAATATAAATTCTGGTTTCATATATATATATATATATATATATATGTATGTATGTATGTATTGTATCTAAGTTGATCCATCTAATCAATTTACATGTTTTAAATGCCCTTCATTTAAATTTAATATCAATACATCAAATTTAGGGGAATATTCAATTGATCGAAGGGTTTAGTTTTGCTCTTATTGTCATGTACATCATAATGAATATTGCTTAGGTCAATTTAATATCCTCCTAAAATCACCTAAACTTAGAAAATAAAAAATAAAACCAAATACATCTCTAAGTTTCAGTTCAATTTTTGTTGTATCATTCAATAATTAGAATACATTTTTTTTTGTTTGAAGTTATTTTAGGGGCAGGGGGAGAGCAACAGAGGCAACTGTGGAAACCAATGCCATGCGTAATGCCTGACATCAGTTGAAGAAAAATTCACCCTACGTTGAAGAATATAACTGGGGACTTTATAATAATCTGGCTGTTTTAATTTTAAAAAATTAAAAGGTTAAATAGCGTTGCCCAAAAGGGGATTAATTGGTCATGGCCCAAGATTCCAGAAGATGGGTACAGTTTACCAATACAACACGCATCCTCAGGTCAATCAAATCGGTATCCACCCACCTATAAATGAGAAATATAATACAATATAATATTATAATAATGTATACATATTCCCAATATATAAAGTGAGAGTTACAAAACTGTCAACTGAACAATGACTTTATCAGCTTTCTAACAGTCATTCAATAATATGTTAAGCTTTTGCAGTATCAAAATATGATTTTGTTCATGTTGTACTACCCCACTAACTGTACTACGTCAATATGTGTACTGCCACAAAAAGTGTACTACCAGTTTCTGTTTCTTAAATGTTTTTTTTGGCAAGAAAGAACCATTTCATTATTGTGAGAGAGAGAAAGTGAGAAGGACAACTGTTTTAAACCCTAATACCCATCTTATTGAATAAGCTGAAGAGGATAAAAAGTGGAAGAATATTAGAATATATTATCCAGCTTTTTGAGCTGTGTTTGGAGTGTGAGCAATATAATTGTTATGCAGAAAGTTACAATGCCACCTAATTCTTTTATGCTATCTTCTTCTCATAATATTACTACCTATTAAATTATTATTCTATCTATTGGAAAATATGGCTTCAACATTAGTTTCATTTCTTTCATAGAATATACTTTCTTTTGTTATTTCAAAGTGAGAGATGAATTCAGAGGTTTCAGATTTTGAGAAATAAAAAAAGAGTTTACATATTTAAATAATTTGTGAATACAATAGGGAATTTACCAATTAAGTTTTGTGACTATATTATTGTGCTTGTCTTAAGTATGTTTAACAAATTTTAGGTCAATTGAATAGTTAGATTGAAGAATATGAGAGTTTTATTGGATTAGGATCTTCCAAATTTGAATTTTAGGATCAACGAGGTCTTTTTTAATCTTAAGAAATGTGCAAGTTGGATCAAAGTTGGAGCAAAAACTTGTGGAAGCATATTAGGCTTTAGTATCTACACATTTATGAAATTAGAGAGTAATTGAATAATTCTAAAAGCAAAAATTGATGCTAAAAGATCAACATTCATGTTAGAAAAGGACAACAACCATTATCAAGTGTTTTAGGAGTTCTTTTTCTTAATTAGTTGATTCAATTTTCTTCAAACTTGGCATGCATGTTATTTCCTTGAAGATTAAAAATATAGGTAAAATTTTAGTTGAAATTAACAATTCAATTAATGACTATTGGAATTTTAAAACAACTATAGAAATAAGTTAAGATTTACTTAGGATTTATTTGGATTTATTTAAAGTTTGTTAGGATTTTATTTAAAATTATTTAAGATTAATAAAGATTTGGTTGGAATTTATTAGAATTTTATTAGGATTTTTTTAGAATCACATTAAGATTTAGTTAGAGTTACTCAAAATTCACTCAAGTTTTTTATTTTAAATATTTCTTTAAGGTTCTTTGTTATTTTTTTAAAGATTTATGTTTATAGTATTTTATAAGAATTTTGTGTAATTTCTTTAAGCTTCTTTTTTTAATATTTTTTAAAAATATTTATTATTTATTATTTATTTTATTTATAATATTTATTTAGGATTTTTAATTATTTTTTTAATATTTCTATTTTTAATATTTAAAAATATTCTTTATTTTTTCTTTATAATTTAATATTATTATTTTAAAAAAATTTATTTATGATTTTTTTATGTTTATTTTATAATTTATTTAGAAATTCTTTTGGATTTGATTAAAATTTAATTACGATTGTTAAGGTTTAATTAAAGACTATTTTGGATTCTATTAGACTTATTAGGAACTTGTTGTTGCAACTTCCTATTCACCTTCTATAACTAGGTGCATATTAAAAAATTTAAGTAAGAATTCAAGTAATACAACAATATTATACTTTCTATATTTTTAAAGAATAACATGTCCTTCTTAAGAGTCTTCATCTCTATTACATTGTCTTCAAGGTTGTAATAATCTTATTATCTCATCTAAGAATTTAACAAATAATAATTTATTAATTGAGTCTACTAGTTGTTGATTCTCTATTTTTTTAGTACTACAAATTGTCAAGGACATGAACTAAAAGATGATACATAAACCAATGAAATCTGTGTCAAAGAAAGAGTGACAAAATAAAAATAAGAAAGTATGTATATTAAAAGAAATTAGAAAGGCTTATTGCCAAAAGACAAGAGAACTTGAGACTCTTGAAATTAGACTAGAAGCAAGAAAGGAGTTGACAAGAGTGAGGAGAGCTTCATTCTTGTCTCTATATATACTATCTAACTAGGAGATATGTGGTGATATTCTATAGGACCTTCAATATGTGTTGACTTTGTAGGACACATGCCTTGACTTACAAGACAAGTTTTTCTAAGTGTGGGCTATATAGTTAGCTTAGTATTCAAGCTAACAACATGTGTGGCACATGGTCAACTTGTTGACTACGTTTTTAATTCAAAAAGTTAATTAAAGACACCTATAAAGTCAAAGCAATATTTATGAAGCTTCTAAAAAGCTTCCATAGAAGATATTATAGAATTAACTTACTTTTATCTACTTCTACTTACTTCTACCTATTTATATAAGTAATTGCTGGCTTACAT